ATTGTTATTTCCTTGTTAAATTTAATATACACTTAAATAAACTATGTAAACAAGTTCATGGGTTCATATACAATCCTCTTTTTTGTTCTTTATATATGAAAATGTTTGTTTTTCTTGGTTACTAAATTCATAATAAAAGACTTTTAAAGAAACAAATGTGATGTAAACACAAAAGGTATCATGAGTAAGATTATTTTTTATATTATCATAGGTTAGTGGCTACTGATGAGAACTGACCTCAGCTCCATTCATAGACAAATGTTTGAGAGTGTGTTTCTGAAAGACTAACTCGTGTCTTACGTTGGAGGGAGGAGGCAGGAAAGATAATATGTCCTCACATATAGTTTACTATGAGCCCTAGTGAAGGGTTTGGTTAGAATTTTTTGTTCAATATGCCTTAACCTCCCCTAAGCTCCAGTTTACCAATGACATTTCCTGGATGTGTTAAAGGTAGCAGGGAGCAGTGGCAACTTTTCTAGGCTTAGGATCAACAAACCTATGTTCAGATGCTGACCTTGATGCCATACTAGGGGTGTGACTTTCAGTAGGTGATTTCATCTCTCTGAGTCTCAGTTTCCTCATCCGCAAAATAAGGATAATAATATATGTATTACTTATCTTGTAGTATCATGTAATATCTTGTAGTATCTGTAGGGAAAAACTCCAGCTAGAAGACTAGATTCGGGTATCATAATACCTAGAAAATTAAAATTCCCTTTCCTTTACACAGAAAGTTGTCGTTCAGAAACAAGCTACAGCTACCATTGAGTACCCCTTTAGTTAGTGGCAAAGGTTCTGCCATGATGATCTATTACGTCCACCCACAAGGGATTCCAGATAGTTAGAGCTGGAAGGAAAATGACATCAATGACTCAAAGAACAGACCACCCTTATCCTCTCTTCTTCCCTTGCTGATCTGCCCCAGTCCACTTGAGCAGTTCCTCCTGCCCCCACCTACTTTCCTCATATGCCATAGGGAGCTGGTTTTGTGATGAGGTGGTCAGGAGCCTGGAAATATGACCTCAGGCAAACAGAGAAAGTGGATCTAAAGGAGGCTAATTGATGGATCGATAACAACCTTGAGGGAGTCCTGCCCGAAAAAAGATCTGCACTTGGCCCAATAATGATTCTCTTCTTTCTCTAGGAAGGTACATTGTTCAGGAAATCTCTTTCTAAAAGGCCAAGTCTTCAAATGCTCAAATTTGAGAATTCATTCTTGGGGTCACCTACAAGTTAACTCTCAAGGCTTTAGAAACTCTTCTTTCTTCAGCTAGAAGACTAGATTTTGGAATCATGCTGCTCAGAAGATCAAAATCTTTCTTTCTTTACACAGAAAGTTGGAGTTCAGGCCCATTATTGGGTCAAGTGGGCAAGCCCATGTCTGATTTTGTCATGAATTTTTGTAGGAACAGAATCTAGGGCCCTAGATACTGCCATCCCATCGACCAGGAAGTAAGTCCAGCTCCAGTCTCCCACTTGGGCTCAGAAAACATTGAATTCCCACATACTCACTGCTATTCCAAGGCACATTACCAGTTAATAAGGGGAAGGGACTGTGTAAATACCTAGGTGCCCCTCCCTCTGAATTCCAAAGGATGCATGGAAGTCCGTCTTCTGAGCAGGGAAAATAAAAAAGGACCAACAATAATTCGTCTCTCTGCTTTATAGTCCCAAAGGGGCAAAGAATACTGTCCTCCTAATTCCCAGCCTGCTAGTTATGTTTGGCGTAGCCTCAGTCACTGGAAAGTCATCACAGGAAATCAGTCTGTAGTTGTCAATTGTTTTTTCATGTTGTGTACATCTGTATTATATATCAATTTATCCTGTATATACATTGTTGTTTGCATATTGTCTCCCCCATTAGGCTGTGAGCTCCTTGAGAACAGGGACTGGTTTTTACCTTAATTTGTATCTGTATTGTTTAATACAGTGCCTGGGACATGATAGGTATCTAATAAATGCTTGTTGATTGACTGTATAGGGGGAAAGACATGTTCATGGAAGTGGGAGTAAGGGGTTGTGGAACTCCAGTTAACAAAAATGAATAGAGATAAAAATAAAGTCCTGCCTTTAGGTTCAAAAAATCTTCTTAGGGATAGATTTGGATTAGCAACTATTTATTTGAAAAAGATTTGGGAAGTTTAGTGGGCTTCAATCTCTATGTGAACATGACATCCCAAAAGTTAATTCAATCAACTGCCATTAGAGGGCAGTGTGGTCTAAAGGGAAAAAACATTGGCCTGTGTTCCAATCCTGACTTTGCCCTTAACTAGCTTTGTAACCTTGGCCCTCCCATGTCACTTCTCCTAGCCCTGTTTCCCAGGGGATAAAAATACCTAGACTACCAATCTCACTGACCCAATGAGTGAAGCTTGCATGAGATAATGGTTGTAGGAGCAGTTTGTAGAAATAAAAACCCTGGACCAAAGCAAAATGCTATTTTTATTTTAAAAACCAATACTGAGTCTGGGAAAGGGAGAGGATGGGGCTTAATGAAGCACCTGGTATCAAGATTAATAATTGACATTCATGCAACAAGTCAAGTGACCAAGTATCTATTAAATACCTACTGTGTTCCAGGCACTGTGCTAAGTACTGGGGATAGGCAAGGAAAGGCATGAGTCCTTGCCCTAAGGGGTTTACAGTCTAATGTGGGAGACAATGTGTGAACTATGTACAAACAAGATCTATACAGGACAAATTAAAGATAATCTCAGAGGAAAGGCACTAAGATGAAAGAAGACCAGGAAAAGCTTCTTTCTTAAGCTGAAACTTGAAGGAAATCAGGGAAGCAGGAGATGAGATGAAGGGGGAAATAATTGCAGGCATGGGGAACAGTCGGTGAAAATGTAGGGAGTTGGGAGATGACCTGTCTTGTTTGAGGAACAGCAAGGAAGCCAGAGTCAAAGTTGTAGAGCGTATGAAGGGCAGTGTGGTAGAAGAAGACTGGAAAGATAAGAAGGGGCCAACTTATGAGCCAAACAGAGGATTTGTATTTGATCCTGGAGATAATAGGGAGCCACTGGAGTTTACTGAGTAGAAAGCAGGCTCAGTCAAATCAGTAGTTTGACAGTTGAGGGGAGAATGGACTGGAGTGGGAAGAGAGTTGAGAAAGTGCTTTACATTTTCAGAAAGAAACAAGAAAAATCAATCCCAACGGGACGAGGAAGAGTAGGCAATAAACAAGATGTTCCTTTTTTAAATTTTATTTTGTTAACATTGTTGGTGGTCCCGGAGGGACTATGCCTACGTGTAGCCTTCACCTCCTTGGGGATGAGTCATATTTCAGGTCTTTGGTTTTCTGGCCCACGATCAGCTCTTTCCAGCTCCGGTAATTCAATCTGCTCCCTTTGTACACAGAACAACCCAGTACAAAGGGGTGGCTCCATCCTCACTAGTCTGAACCAATCCAAATATCCCCAAAGCTGACAGTTAATCAGTTTCAGTGAAGTGTGAACGGGTTGCAATAATAGCTATCACCCTAGAACTTTAAATTTTGTAAAGGTTTTGCATATATCTATGACCCCACAATGTCAGGAACAGATGTGAACCCAGGCACTCCTGACTCCAAGTCCAGCACCCTTTTCACCTCCATCAGGTAAACAAGTACTCGGGATCAGTTTACTCCCCCAGCCCTCATCAAGGAGGTCACCTTAAGGTAGATGTGCCTATTTTGCCTTCTATTGGGAGATGATGTCAAAGTCCTTTGCCTAATCAATAGCCAGGGCTGTGTAAAACATAATCACTCTGTGAGGATGTTCCCTATACCTAGTAGACTACACATTTTCTGTCCTTCACATATAAAGCCCCACACAATGGTTTTCTTCCCTTTGACTTCGCCAAGTTGATTGATTGCCCTATGAACCCCCTACAAAACCAATACACATTGCCTTAAAAGTAAATAATTTGGAGTTTGTGGTATATACATGATCATTGAAATTTTTGTTTATTGGAATATTTGGCTTTCTTGATGGTTACTAAGTTTAGAATAAAATCAAAATTACCCCCTCCCCCAACATTAGTGCCACTTTAGCTACATTATTTCATTTGAGCTCCACAGCAGGCCTTTTGGTAGATAGTAATTTCCATTGCGTGGATCATAGGATCATAGATTTGGAGCTGAAAAGGACCTCAGAGACAGGTTATCTGATCCAATCCACTCATTTTACATACTGTGGTAGAGTGGAGAGGGCACAGGACTTAGAACCAGGAAGACCTGAGTTCAAATCCCACTTCAGGCACTTATTAGCTATGGGATCCTGGGCAAGTTACTTTAAACCTTAATGTGCCTCATCTTCCCAATTTGTAAAATGAAGGGTTGGATTCTAGCCTCTAAGATTCCTTCCAGCTCTAAACTGAGGTGACATGACCTGCACAAAGTCACATAGCTTTTAAAGGGAGGGATGGCATAGGGAAGGGGGGATGACTCAAAACCAGGGCTTCTCACTCCTTGTCTGATGTATCTTTTATCACAGCATACTGGGACAGGGCACAGAGACTAGACAGAATGTCATGTGTGAGCGAGAATCCACTTTGGCTTGACTACAAAGTGCAGGAAGGAGAATGCTTTAGAATGAATTTAGAGAGGGAGGTTAGGGCCAGGTTACAAAGGACTTCCTAAAAAATGTTTTCAGGGGCAGCTAGGCGGCGCAGTGGATAGAGCACCAGCCCTGGATTCAAGAAGACCTAAGTTCAAGTCTTGCCTCAGACACATAACACTTACTAGCTGTGTGACCCTGGGCAAGTCACTTAACCCCCATTGCCCAATGAAAAAAAAAGTAAAAAAAAATGTTTTCACTTTATTTTTAGAATGCTTCAATCTGTATTCAAACCATATCAGTTCTTTGTCTGGAGGCAGATAATATGCTTCATCATGAGTCCTTTGGTATTGTCTTGGATCATTGCATTGCTGAGAATAGCTAAGTCATTCACAGTTCTTCATCAAATTATACTGCTGTCACTGTATATGACGTTCTTCTGGTTCTGTTCACTTCATTATGCATCGGTTCATGTAAGTCTTATAAAGGGCTTTAAAAACCAAACAGAAGAGTTTCTATTTTATCCTGGAGGTAGTAGAGAGACACTAGCATTTATTGCTATCCAAGTTCTCTGGCTGTAGTGGGGCAGAGCCCTGGATTGGAAACTGTCTTATTGAGCCAAGGAAAAGTCTTAGATCTAGCTCTGGAAGGTGGTCATAAGAGGCACAGAAATTCCCTATGCTTTTCCCTCCCTCCTGTGTCCCTCATGTAACAGGACATGAAGATTTTCAGTACCAGCAATGCCAAGATTGCTAGCAGCAGGGGCCTCCATTTCCCTTCCCTACCTCCTTTCTTCCTTCTCAGTGTTTCTAGTACTATCCTCAGGTTTCCTAGAGTTTCAGGGTAATATGCAAAGCCAAGTGCTAATCACTTGGGAAGGGGATTGACTCCTAAAGGTTCCTTAGCTGGGGTCCATGATTTTGTTCTTTTAATATATATTGTTCTTTTAATATGTATTTCAATATAATTGGTTTACTTTGTACTTATATATTTTATTTTCTGCATTTAAAAAAATTATTCTGAGAAGGGTTTCTTTAGACTGCCAAAGGGGACCGTGATATTAAAAAAAAGTTGAGAACCCCTCAGTCTAGAGACCCTGAGCTGTTTCCCTGATGAAAGTAGAAGTCCACTCCCAGGTCATGCTTAAAGACTGGAGTGACTGGAAATGAAGGGGGCCCACCAGAGAGGGAAGGGAAGTTTTCTCAACTATACTTTATATGTTCTTTGTTTTCTATAACAACACACACCCAGAACCACTGCTGGGCCGAAAGGGTTGGGGCTCTCTCCACCTCCCATTTAGGGGCCTCTTTCAGCTCTGGGCTCGTACTCAGGCCAGGTTAGGGACTGGGAGAGCCTACCCTCCAAATAGATAGGTCATGCCCTTTTATTTAATTCTCTGGCTCTTAATACCCTGATCCTGGAACCCCAGGGAAAAATCATTTAAAGATGAGGTTTGGCTCATGTCTAAGGTCTCCCCAAAAGGGAGGAATAAGAAAGGTATTCTATGTACAATGAAAATCAAATCAAATCTAGGACAGCTATCAATTTCCTCTATACAAAAGAAAAGTTAAACACAAAAGACTCACACAAGCAAGAGTAAAAACACATAACTGTTGTCATGTCCTTCTTAGAGCATAGTACTGAAGGTAATCTCTGAACAGGAAGCATTGTGTGGCCTGCTTAACTGGCATTTCACCTTCCCTGTGGCCCTTCGCTGTCCAAACCAATCCCTCCAAAGCCTTCCCGTAAGCCAGGCCAGCTTGGACTGCTTTTCCTGCTGTCCATCATCTTCTCCAAGAGACACTGAAATAATTCTGGAGGGCCTCCTGCAGAAGTTCAGCCAATATCAACGGAAGACTCAGGAGCTTCCAACTTTTTACACACACACAGATTACCTACAATGCTAGAAACGTCCATTTCAAGATTGCTGTTGAGTCACCCATATTCAGGAAAGGGACATTAAGCAGACCCGACAGCTAGGGCTTTGAGATCAATTCTTAGGCTCCCTTAAGCCAGCACAGGCTTTGGCCATCATGCTTGAGGCTGACATGCTGCCACTGTGGGAAAAGGGCAGCTCCTTCCCCATACCTCATGGGAAGGTCAGGGAGATAGATACTCTGAGTTCTGAGAGCTAGAGGATGTGTTCATTCTTTAGTGGACAATGAGGCGCTCTTCCAGATTAATTGGCCAATTTTCTTGGACCAAAGACATCTTTTACTTCCAAAGACCAAGGGCCTATTTAGGAAATTGCTTCACCATGCCAAAAAACAAATCTTTCAGCATTCAGCCCCAAGTATTGAGAGGCCAGGGCAACTTAGCACAAGCTCTATGAAGTGGTCCCCAAAGGTCTAACCTGTGTTACATATGTAATAAGCTTGTTCAGTGTCCCAAGACTTGTTTGCTTGGTGTGTAAGCAGGTTAAATGAGGACAATGTGAAAGCAGGAAATTGAGCCAGATACTGATGATCCCTGGGAAATTATTGGGTAGAAACCCAAACTAAAGACTATTATTGAGAAGCCCCCAAGGCTGAACCTGAGTGAGCCCAGAGATACAGTTTGGGGACACAGGTTACACCTGTCAGATAGAAATAAACTATTCAGGTGTACTTCCAGCATTCCATCTCCAAGTGCCTGGGAATAGGGAGGGGGTTGTTAAGAAGGAAGACATATATATGAACAGGACATTCTAGGATAAGGCTCAACCAAAGATTCAGGGTCTTCCATGTTCTTTTTTTTTTTCTTCCATGTTCTTAAGATGAAAGCAATCCAAGATACACAAGGATTAGGTTCCCTAGAAAGCCAGGGCTTTCACTGGGGTCTTACAAGGGGATGTCAGGTCATCAGCTCATAAATTGCCACCCAAGGTGCTGCTCCCAAGGCAGAACTAAGGACTTTGAAGGTACCCACCCCATATCCCAGGACTAGGCTAATTCCACTGCCAGAGAGTCCAATAAAGAGACTCCCATGTTCTGGGATAAGGGTGAAAGGAACCAAGACTATTTGGCCCCAAGGCCATCCTGAGGCGCTGGCCTGCTCCTCCAAGTAGGGAATAGTACACAGGCCTAATTTTCCCAGCCCCCACTCTACCAGCCGCTGCAGATGGGCCTAGCCACTGGAAGATTAGAGAAAGCTTCACAGCCACTAGGAATTAAAACCTATTGATTTTCCCCATTAGCTCAAGAACTTCCATCAGAGAGATGCATTAGAAAAAAAAGAAAGACCCAGAATCATCAATAATTAAAATCTAAACATGACAACCCAAGGGAGGGCAAGGGTGTTGGGGCGGGAGAGTCAAAGCTCTGAGAGGCCTGGGATACCCCACTCCTCCCACTCCAGGGAACCCTGGAAGTGACCCCCTTTGGTTCCTCCCTTCTGTGAGGGACCTGAACCCACGAGGATCCAGATAGTCATCCTATATCATAGAATGAAGAAATCATCTGGTCATTTTACAGAGGAAGAAACTAAGGCCCAGAATGGAAAAGTGTTTTTTTCCAAGATCAGGCAAGGAATAAAATGGCAGAGCCAAACTAGAACCCATGGCAGAGGAGGGGAAAACACAACACTTAAGAGTGAGAGGATGGGGCAGCTAGGTGGTGCAGTGGATAAAGCACTGGCCCTGGATTCAGGAGGACCTGAGTTCAAATCGGCCTCAGACACATAACACTTACTAGCTGTGTGACCCTGGGCAAGTCACTTAACCCCATTGCCTAGCCAAAAAAAAAAAAAAAGAGTGAGAGGACCTGGACTCACCTGCTGGATTCAGCCTTCTCAATTCAACCAAAACGTCTTATTCACCTATACATAAGACACAATACCAGATGCCAGACTAAGGAACACAGAGATAAAAGTGTGAGAGTCTCTGGTCCTTAAACAGGCACTCTTTGAATTGAATTCATAATGCTCAGTGACCCGAGCAAATCGGTATTCCCTCTCCCCATAAGCCCCGTAAGCCTCATTTTTCTCATCTGTAAAATGAGAATGAAATTCATTTTATCTATGACGCGTAAGTGTCTTGGACTATAAGCTGAAAATCTAGATGTAACTGTGAGATATTATTATTATTGCTATTGCTATATTAAATAATAATAGTTCCCAGTCCACTGCCTCTTTTATCTTCTTTTTTTTCCCCAACCTTCCTCTCTCTCCTGGTCTGCCAGACCCAAAGTGTCCCACTTCTGAAAGTTAAAGGGGCTAAATCAGCTGACTCCCTTTGCCCGCTCTGAAATTCTATATTCTATGACTACGCCAGCCAGGCATTACACATCAGGGGTGTCAGGTCATGCTCCTCTGCCACGGGGACCCTCAGAATTGAGGCAAGGCTTCTTGAAGTCTTGAAAGTGGCTAATCCACAGCCAGCCCCTCCCCCCCTTTCCTTTTTGTCATCGCCCCCCCCATCTGCCAAAATCACGCTTTGTCTCTTGGCCAAAGGGAGAGGGAATTGAGCAAGTGAGCTGAAGGCAGGGCCTCCTTGATGTAAACAGGGACTTCAAGTTCAAAGAACATAAAAAGAACAACACCCCAATACTTCTCAGATATAGACAGCCCAAGGAACTGGGACTCATTATCCCAGATCTGATGCCCAATTCCCTTGCCTCTGTCCCCCAGACTGAAGCTGCTTCTTGGTGGCTTCTTCAGCCCAATCCCTATTCCCAGCATGGGCCTGAAATCCTCTGGCCCAGCCTGTCCTCCCCACACAGGGTCACCCTCTATCTGGTCCTGCACCAGCAAGACTCCTCCGGCCAACCTGGTGGGGATGGTGGCGGCCTAGGGAACACACAGGCTCCTCTTTGGTTTCTAAAATTTACAAGTGTCCAAGGTTTGAGGAGAGAAAGTACAGACAGAAATAGCCCAAGAATCACAGCAGGAGAGGAACACAGGAGCCAGGTACCTTCAGCTTGACAATCGATGCTTCTCCCACACACTGGAAGTGGGCTCAAGTAGTGAATGAGGCTGCCTTCCAGACCTTTGGCACTGTTCTTTGGGGATGGGGTTTGCAGAAGCCCCTCCGCCCACAAGGCTCATAACCATCTGGCCTTCAGGGAGGAAAAGAGCCTCGTGGAGGTCCCCCTCGCCCCAAATACACACCAAAACACTCCCCAAAACAGCGTATCCCCCATCCATCCCGATCCCTGCTCAGCCTCTCCCGCAATGCCCTCCCCCTAACTGAAGCAGCCTCTTTCCTTAGAGAAGTGAAAGCCATCCTTCAGAGCTGACCCTTGGCCCAGATTGGAACAGGACTGCAGTGGACCTACTAGATCAGGCCCTTCCCCACCCCTCTTGCCTCTATTACCCTCCTTTTTTCTCCTCCCTCCTTCCTCCTCCCCCAGCCGGGCTGGGCCTGGTTGGTTGAAGAGAAGGTGTCACCTGAGAGGTAGGAGGCCTGTCCCTGTTTCCTCTCTACCCCTCCCCAGAATGAGACAGCAGTGAGTCGGGGAAGGGGACTTCCCCTAGGCTCCTCCTCTCCACATCTCTAGGCTCCAAGCTGGACTTGGGAGGTCCAGCTGGCCCACCCTCCCCGGTTCTCTGACCACACCCTTATTCCTTCCTTCCAGAGGCATTCACTTTCCCAAAGCTCCCCAAGGCCTCCTGGCCTTCCTGCTCATCTTCCCTCCCCTGATTCCTGTGGTAGGGGAGGAAGTATCTTTCCTGGAACCTGGAAATAAGTAGTTCTGGGCCACTGACACAAAGTTACAGTATAACCAGCTCTAGTGGACAGTGCCAAGGCATGCGTCACCCTGAAGAGGTCTCCTCAGTCCTGATCCTACAACCCCACTTGAATACCAAGCCAGACCTGATCCTCCAAGCTAGAACACAGATTGGTCACCTTGGAACCCCTTGGAAAGGCTCTATCCTTTCCACCCCAAAGGGAGGCCACACACACATTCCCTTCCCAACTCTCACACTGAGATGATATTGTCCAGAAAAAAACACTACAACCCAAATACTACTCCTCCCAAAACATCTTTGGAGCTTACAGAAGCTCAGCAGCAGGAGAACAGCTTTACCCAGTGTCATTTCCATAAGAACAATCAATGTGCTGCCCTTCCCAGAAGAGGATCCCTTTCCTGACCTTCCTTTGGGCTCTGAGCCTTGTCACCAGTTATGGGAAAAAGACTTGGGGGCAGGCTGCAAGGAACCCTCAACATTCTCATCTAGTGCCTATGACCAACGGAATGTATTTGTGATAGTTAGAGTTCAAGGGTTAGAGGTCAGTGTGGGGCTGGAATTAGGGAGTCACTTTGTGGCCAGGGCTTAGACTGTATGTATGACCAGGGTTAGGGCCCAGTCTGTGGTTGGGTTTGAGGAGGCCACCAGCCTGTGGCCAGGGTCACTGTTCAGTCTAAAATAGGAGTTGAAAGTCAGTCTGTTTCAAGAGTGAGGGTTCAGTCTGGGACTAGAGCTGAATGGGGAGTTAGGGATGGAATGGTGAAATGGTAAATCTGTGATAAGGTTTAGGGCAGACTTAGCTAGATTTATTGTTCTGTTCTGTCTGACTCTCCATGACCTCATGGGGTTTTCTTGGTAAAGATACTGGAGTGGTCTGCCATTTCCCTCTCTAGTTCACTTTGCAGATGAGGAAACTGAGGCGAACAGGGTTAAGTGACTTGCCCAGAGTCACAGTTAATAAGTGTCTGAGACCAGATTTGAACTCAGGTCTTCTTGACCCCAGACCCAACACATTATCCACTGTGTCACCTAACTGCCCTTAGCCAGAGATGCTCATAAGCCAAAGGCAGGTTAACGGACCCACAAGGTAATGAAACCTATGACCTCAACCTTGAAAGCACTGCTTTCACTAACCCCTGAGCTATCATAGTAAGGATATGTAAACTGTTCAGTGGCATAGGGGTGGGGTGGATGGACTCAAGCAGTCCCCAGTCCCCAGCACAATCTGTTTGGAGAGGAGGGTGGGTCATGTACTGGAGAATTTTTCTGAATGTCCTTCTCAGTGTGGGGAAGGGGCAGGTTGGTTGACTCGTCCTGGGCCCCAAGCCAGCTCTGCAGGCTTCCCCCCATTTGTCCCGGTTCTCAATGCAGATGGGCAGAAACATAGTACAGCATCTCCAGGGCTCTGGTGAAGAAGGAGTTAACCTCCTTGCCTCTCAGCGTGAATCTCGAGCTATTAATACACACACAGTCAGTCGCTGATCTGTCAGAGTCAGAGAGAGTGAGAGTGAGGAGCCGCTGGTCTGGTCTCATCAGAGCCCAGCCAGACTGACAAGGGGGAAGCAGGGCTCGGGGGGGGGGGCCAGAACTTTCCTCCACGAGGAAGCACCAGAGATTACCTCAGAGTAGCCAAGGACTCCTCTGCCACACTAGGGGTGGGGTAGCTGGGGTATAGGGTTGATCAGCTAGCTCCCAGATATCAGTCACTCCTCTGGCTCCCCTGAGCTGCAGCCAGCAGGAAAGAGCAAACTTTCCCAGGTGCCACTCCTGCTAGTTGGCCCCCCGTGGGAATCCCCGAGCTTGCCCTCCCATCCCTGACCCTCTGGAAAGACTAGGGACCGGGCTTGATTTTCAGCTGCTGAGGTCAGGGGGCACAAGGTGTGTGTGTGGCCCTGCTCAGGGCAAAAATAGAACCTCAGAGGACTGCAGACCCTGAGCTTGGGTCAGGGGACCTGCTGGGAGGACAGCTGGATTCTACCATCTCCTGCTTCTTAACTTGGGGTCGCCGAGAAGGCAGGGCCCCAGCCCAGGGACATCCTAGATCCGAGTCTGGCAGCTGGGCCCCTGGGGGAGGGCATCGTGAGTGGCCAGGGGGAGCCCCAGGCTCTTCCACACACCAGGGAGACGGGCAACCTGGGGGAGAAGGTACAGGATGGGGGCTGGAGGCCCTGTGGTCAGGAGGAAGATGGACTGCTGACTCTGGCCAGCACCGGCTCCGGGGGCCCTGTGGAGGCTGTGGATAACAACGATGAGGAAGCTTCTACTTCTGCTACCTGCTCCACCTGCCCCATCCTGGACCTGCCCCCTCCCTGGCCAACAGGCTGTGGGGCCGAGGACGTCCAAGCCTTCTGCTTTATCTGCCTTCACAAGGAAGAGGAACCCCTGGAGACCCTTCCACTTCAGAGGTCAGTGCCACTGTGGGCATCCCATGGAGATGATGCCTGGGGCTCCCTTGGCAGTAAAGTCCTAACTGGTGCTGAGCTCAGTTTGGGGTCACAGGGTCACTAGGGCAGAGAGAGGGTGGGAGTCATAAGGGGAAAGAATAGCATGGCCCTCATGGGGGAAGGATCAGGATGGGTGTCATATGAGCAAGGATTGGAAGAGGGTGACAGATAGAGAAGGGAATCACGGGGCCAGGAGTGGGATGCATGGTTTTGCCGTATGGATCTATACTAGGTGACTCTGGGAGTATGCGTGTTGTCACTGTATATGGTTACTGTGTCCTCTTATGCCCTTCTCAGCCGGGTGCCCCTGACCCTTGTGCTCCAGCCAGGACTCAGGGTCCCTTTGGGCACATCTCCCTGGCTAAGAAGCAGAATGCAGTTCTGCCCAGTTCTGGTGGTTTTACCCTCCCTACACATACCCTGGATTCCTGGAATCCCTGGTATTTTAGAGAGGGGGAGGTGGGGGAAGTTGGAAGGAAAGGATGGCAGAGGGATGCCTGAGGTGTGTGTCTGCCTAATTGGAGGGGGGAGGAAGGTGAATCATCTGCTTACAACCCCACATAATGGCAGCTGGGGCAGCCCCATTCCTCCAGCCACATGCTTTGGCTCAGAATCATCACCCCACCACCTCTACTCCCACCTACAAGAATAGATGGGGTGCCCTCGTCCTCTTTGGCATAGAATAGAATCCTAGAATGTCAAGACTATCAGGGACCCTTAGAGATCACCTATATTAATCCCCATATTTTACATAAGGGGAAACTGAGGCTCATAGTGAGGGTACAGGACAAACTAGTAGCAAAGTCAATACTAGAACTAGGTCTGGCTCTTGGTCCCAGGCTCTTTCTCCTATGCCATATTGCTTCAGGCTTTCTCCTGTCTACTTTGGGTGGAGCTGTCTGGGCCCTTCCCAGGCCCTTAGAGCTCTCCCTCTCTGGGTGCTGATTCAGGCTCTAGGCCATAGTGTGTGGGTGGCGCTTGGAGCAGAGGTGACCCCTGTCTCCAGCTGCCAACATTCAGTCCATTTCTTGGAGGTCTGTGGTCAGAGTGGGTTATACTGGTGGTTAATGCACTTGCTTTTGGGTTGGGAAAATTGTAAAGGAGGTCTCATGTTTCCCTGAAACCTCTGAGGCCTGAGATCAGCTGAGCATATCTACTGTCTCTAACCTCTTTGACCCGCCTGTCCCCCCTCCTCACAAGTATGCTCACACAAACACAAAGACCCCCACATCCATGAATGCCCAGACTTGCACGTGAGCAATACACACACCCACACAAACACATGGGACCAGTTTTCAGTGCCTGAATTCTCCCTGGCTCTCTGCCCTGTAGGCAACAGGCAGAGGAGGGGAGAAGTCAGAAGAGAAAGTGGAAAGAAACAACCATTTTAGGGACCCTTGATGGTAGTCCCAAGTCATTAAGTGGGCTCAGTGCATCAGCACCCAATCTGGGACAAGCAGGTTCAGGGAAAGGTCCTGGGAGATTCTGGGATTGGGGACACCCCATACACACAAAACCCATCAAGTACACATGAAATCCAGGAAACCTCCCTCCAGCCACACAGTCCAGCCTAGCCAGGAGAGGCAGCTGGGCACAGAGGATAGTTCTGGACATGGATCAAGGGAAACCTGGGATACATGGGCTCCCTAAGGGAGGAGTTTAAGATGTGGATCTTGCCCCAGTCTTCTGGGGGGACTGAAGGCTGTGCTCTTGTCCATCTTTTGTGTGTGTTAGGCAGTGTATTGGATACGTGCGTGTGCCAATGGGTACCAAATATAGTACAAAAGGTGTTATATGTGTATATATGTAGAAGGTATATAAGGTGGGGTCTGCATAGAAGGGGTGTCTGTAAGGTTGTATCACATACATGTGTAGAAAGTAGTGGGTGTCCTGTATGTCTGTACATACAGACAAGTATGTGTCTGTATACTTGTATGGCATCTAGAGTGTGTTTTGCATAGGGCTTAGGTATGGGTTAATATACATTAACATGCAGGGATATGGGTATTTTTAGGGTATATGGGGCACTAAGCAGGATAAATTGGAGTGGGGAAACATCTTTGGAGACTATTACAATCATCTAACTATGAGGAGAGGAAAGCCTGAGTTAAGCCAATGGCAGTAGGAGTAGAGATAAGGTAAAATTATAAAAGAATTGGCCAGACTTGACAATTGAAGTCAAAGTTGCTCTAAGTTTTCTATGGGCAGTTAGGTGGTACCATGGAGTGCTGTGCCTGGAGTCAGGAAGATTCATCTTCATGAGTTCAAATCAGCCTTATACACTTACTAGCCGTGTGACCCTAGGCAAGTCACTTAACTCTTTTGCCTCAATTTCCTTTCCTGTAAAATGAGCTGGAGAAGGAAATGACAAACCACTCCAATTATCTTTGCCAAAAAGAAAAAAACAAAACAAAACAAAACAAATGGGGTCACAAAGAGTCAGGTTTGGCTGAAAAACAACTGAACAACAGAAAATTTTCTAGCCTTAAGTGAATAAGATGATGGTGGTGCCATTAGCAGAAATGGAGAAGACAAGAATTTTGAGAGGGAAAATGAAGATTTTTCTTGAGGACATGTTAAGTCTGTCATTTGGCGAAACATTCAGGTGAAAGTGTCTAACAGGGAGTTGAATATTTGGTTCTAGAGTTAAGAACCACAAAGTGGGAGATAATTGAAGGCAACCTTGATAGGCTAAGAGTAGAAGCTATGGAAGGAGAGAGGGTCACCAAGGGAAGAGAAAAGAAAGAACATCAAGGACAGTCTTGGCAACACCCTCCCTGGAGGGGCATTCATGAGAAGAAAAGACTCAATGAAGGGGAGCAAGGAGAAACAGGTCACCCTAGCTTAAAAGCAAAGTAGAATGGGACAAGAGAGTAAGGGATTGATTCTAGGGCACCACTGAGAACACCACTGAAATGTCTGGCCTTTGGTTCCAGGAAGGGTAGGAGGTTAAGTGATGATAGAAGGTTGATAGAAGAGAAAACAGAGAGAGGTCCAACAACTGGGGGGTTAAGATGGTGGCCAAAAACAGGTTCAGTAGAAGTGTGGGAATAGGAGAGACAGAAGGATAGAAGGTTGTGATTATCTGTTTCCCAGCTCCATTCTCTTCCTCCTTAAAACCCAAGGGGCCTCCTGGATTTTCCTTCAACTCTCTTTACCCTCTCCCTGCTCTCAGCCAACTGGTCTCCCTCCTCTGTCTTCTCCCACACTGGTATAATAACCACAGGGTTAATGAGAGGTAATGTGATAAAGGGGGAAAGAGTAATGGACTTCAAAGGAATCTGGAATGCTGGAATCTTGTACTAGCCCTACTCAGTATTTGACCTTCCCTCAGCTACAGTAAAATGGGAGGGTTAGACGAGGCCCTTTAAGGCCTTTTCTTGCCATGACACAGTTATTCCAAAGGTCCCTCAGGACCTTTAGCCATCTTTACAGACATCAGGTCTAGTTGAAGAAGTCTCCTGCAGTGAGTAATCTGCAGGCCTCCCCATTAGGAGGGTCCATTCTCCTTACTTCCAAGCACCATCAGTCACAACCTCCTTTGGTCCTAAGGTCCCAGGATCTTCCCTTTATGGGCACCCTCCACATACACCTGCTGCCTCCGACCCCTTCTCCTCATTCCCTTAGAGAATGATTATCCTTTCCTTGAGAAGATGCCTGTCCTCTCACGTCACCTCTCCTAGCCCAAGAGCTGCCCCCTTCCTGGTTAGGGTTAAAGACCAGAAGGTTGAGGAGAAGGCAGGCAGAGATGGAGTGAATGGGCAGGTGCCAGGTGCCAAGACTAAAAATATAAAGGCTAGCCTTCTTAGGAGCACCTGTCAGCCTAGGGGGAGGGCGGGTGGCCAAACCTATCTGCCCAAGGCTGTTGGAATGTTCTCCTTAGCAGCACCAGCCCAGACCAGCCTGTATCATTATTTCCTGCATTGTTCAGACTGACCCACCTATCTATCCTGCCAATCTCAGCTGCTGTGGCAGCTGAGGATCCACAATCAACTTCTAAGTGTGTGCCAGCCCTATCCTGAGCCAAATGCTAGGGGTTTAGAGATAGAAGGTTTAGAGGTCATCTAAGCTAACCCTCTTATTTTACATATGGGGAAACTGAGGCCCAGAGAGGGTAAATGACTTGTCCAACGTCACATAACTAGTTACTAGCAGAATTAACTCAGTCCAAGTGCAAGACTCTTTGCATTATACTATGCTGCCTCTTTTGGTCCAAATCCAGGGTCTAGGCTAGAATGGGGAGAGGGTCATGGATATGCTTTTGATATAGGGGTATGAAGAAATGCCCACTTTCACAAAGCAGCATGGAAAAAGCACTCTACTTAAAGTGAGGAAACTTGGCTTGCCATCACAGATTTGCCATTGACTGTGTAACCTTGAATAAAGCATTTAATTCCCAAGAGTCTCAGTGTCCTCATCTATAAAATGGAGCCAATAATCTTGCGTTACCTGCCTCATGGGAACATTACTTTTCCAGCCTTATTCCTCTATGATGGCCCTCCAAGCATTCTGCTCTCTGGCCAAAATGAGACTGCCCTCTGTCCAGCGTGCCTTTCCCTGACTTCTCCAGTCTCTTTGCCCCACCCCAAAGCACACAGAGCTCACATGCTTCAGTGACCTTGCTCACACTTTTCCCTTTGCCAGCAACTCCCTCCCTCCCAGTCTTTCTTTAAAGGCCCATTTAAATGCTTCCTGCTCCAGGAAGTCTTCCTTGATCTCTCAGCTGGTAATGAGTTCCCTCCACCCACCCACTCTACTCCCATCAGATTTCATGTACCATTTACCCATAACTCTCTGATGCAATTGCCCTGCAAGATTATGTAATGTAGTGATCTGTGTTAGCGTCTTTCCCCTCTCCTTGACTTTGAGCTCCATGAAATCAAGAGCTTATCTCAACTTTGTATCTCCTTCCTTGGCACAGAATTCTGCACACAGTAGGCATTTAATGGTTTGTTGTAAGG